TGTACAAACGGTATGTTAATCATGCAAATGCTTAATTTATGTGAAATATATATTATTATATTATATGACAATAAATTTACAACATCATTGGTTCAATTGTTTTCCACGTCTGAGTCTATACGTTCCACGCATATAGGTATCATAGATTTTCAAAGAGCCCTTGATGGTTGAGATGCAGAGGTTCGAAATGTCGAAGGAGGTGAAAAACAGTCTGCGAAGGTATTTTGCAGAGAGTTGACTGATCATCCCTCGATAAGAGATTACAACAGGAATTAGCAAAATTTTTTGAACTGTATGTCCCATTGCAGACAGGAACCGTTGGCATGCAGCAACCATCGTTGGAGTTCCGTATTTTGACATCTTCGACGCATGGCTGATATAAATGAAGGCGTCGCTGCAGATTGTTACGTCGAGAATGTATGCTACTCCGTCTAAAAAAATAATTAGATCAGGTTTACAGAAAGACGTGGGCGTTGGAACACATGGCTCGACGTAAAATCTGGTATTCATTTTGCGCAATTTGTTAGCGATCAGCTTGAGGACGTAGTTGTGTCTCTTGCATCTGACGTCATGAGTTAGAGCGCAATGCTGAAGAATATGTTGAAGATTTTCCGGTTGACCACACCCGCCTCTACAGTTGATTTCCGCTACAGGACGTCCACGCGTACTTCTCGTTTTTGTGCCCAAGAGGCCTCCACGCAGTTGAACGGCTCGTACATAGAGATTGGGCAAGACCATTTCGGGGCAGAGAAGCCATTTGTGAGATTCAGGGCCTTTTGTTGACTCAGTCAAACCGTAACCATCCGCCGATGAGTGTAGCTGTTGTGCCCAGCTTTCATGGGCTTCTTCTATTGATGTTACTATTTGTCTATGGGCCTGCATCGGAAGGTTGCAGATCCTAAGAAAAGGTGTGAAGGTGGCGGAGGACGTGATGCTGCGTATGAGCGGATTCCTATTGTTGAGTAGTGCCTCGATTCTTTTGCGCCTATGAATCGGAATCGCTGTTGAGAGATTCATAATTCCCAGGCCTCCCTTTTTGACGATCAAGTCGTTGTTAGTTAGAAGGTATTCCTGGACTGGTCTAGTGTCTGGTAGGGCTAGGCGTGTGAAGGTGTCTATCCAAAATTCATTGAAGCCTCCTATACTGGAAGGCTGACATGTAAACGGGTCTCTCCATCTGCCATCAAGTACCGTGTTTGCGGCGAACGGTGGAAGAGCGTTTGCATGTGGGCATATAGAATGCGTCGCCTCTTCTTGTTGTTTAAGTTCGGTGGGAGACCGGAGACGTATCGCTGCTTGGATGGTTTCCATTTTGTAGGGAACAGTTGGTGGGCCTGCTTATCCAAAAGTTGACGTGTCTCCTCAAGAGTAACATCATTCGCATATAGTTGCAGAATAATTTGTCGAGTGGATTCAGTGTCCAGCCGCTGAGATGAATTTGCCAGTTGCGTGCTGATGGCAGCCAGGAGGTTAGCGTGTATATTGTCCATGTTGAGGCTTCTATGAAGTGTCAGATTCACCAGGGGACTTGAACCATCTTGAGTGAGTCGAGTAGTTGGCATAATTTGTCTTCGAGCTTCATGTTCAAGGGTTGCAGTGGGTGATGAGGTTCGGTTGAGCGAGAAAGCGTTGACAGTATAAGTTGGGACTGATTCGTCAATATCAATAGTATGCAGAAGTGGACGGATCATTGACACAGCAGTGTAGGAATATAAAATTGTTCTATTGACAGTACTTATTGCATAGTGGTACTGCGGTATTCGTATTGGTTGGGTGGATTCCTCGATTACAGTGCAATCATTATAAGTGACAGCCAATTGGAGGGATTGCTGTTCTTCTAGCTGAGTCGGTGTACAGGAATTCGATGAGATTGTGATAGCTGGATCTGAAGTTGCTCTGCATGGACTTAGAGGAGCAGAGATTGGTCTGTTGACGGTGAACGTAACAATGAGTGAGGTAACTTGCCGAATTTGGAGATAAGACGTATTTGGAGTTAGGACTATTCTTGGCAGAGATGGGTTGAGTGTACGTCTCCATTTTAGCCTGGCTAGACGTAGTCTAACTGCATCAGCGGTGCGGTTGCCAACGGCTTCGGCGACGAGAGCGAAGAACTGTGTAGGCGCAAGTAGAGGTGAATCGAAACATTTGGCCGTTGAGATCAACCCAGCATCTTCTTGAGTGGACCAGGTTTGAAGTCTTGGACGCACATACAGTGTTGATCTAATAGCATAGTTTTCATGTGATGATGCAGGTGAGGATGGCACCGAGTAGGAGCCAATGGTTGATGCGGAGCGCGACGATGATGGGACAAATGTTGACCATTTGAGTGTTTGTAGACGGCGTCTGATGGCTTCAACTGAGCGATGTGGCAGATGGTCGTGTAGGTGTTGATACAGTTCAGCTTTGCTGTTGAATCGGTTGACTGCTGAGTCTGCTAACATCAGTAAAGTGAGTTCTTCATTTTGGGACCAATTTCGTCGTGTTCGACAGTCGTTGAGGAGGCGACCAAGAAGGACCTCATTGTATTCGGCGGGGTGGATTTGACGCAGATGTTGAGTCAAACCTCTCGGAGAAGTGAAGTTTGAAGGACAGTATATACACAGGAATCTTGGAGATACGATTGAGGATAGAGATTGATTGAACCGCATGGAGTGAGGTGATGATGGATTGGATGTGAGGGGCAAAGGATGAGCTGCTGGCAATTGGGAGATGAAGGAAGGAGAACAGGAGGCTGTTGTTTGAGGGTCAGCTTGAACCATGGTAGAGGCCATGGATTGTGATGAGGGTTGGCTTGACATAGCTGACATGACTGGAGATTGCGGTATCGCAGGCTCGAGTTTGGAGGACAACCAACGATGGACTGTTAGTTGTGCCACGGACCGTTCATAGGCCCTCACCCGTGGCTTGACAAATGGTTAAACCAAAATCAAACAAAGCAAACAAAAACGAAACAAAACAGAAACAAAAACAAACGAAAAGAAAGGTACTGTTATACGATATTCCACGTAATCACTTTGGGATTGAAGCAAAAAGAACGGAAGCCGAAAATGAATGGGGAGGTGGAGGTGATATGAAAGAGTCCACTTTCGAGAACAATAAGAAGGAGATGCAGCGTGAAAATGACTATCGAACAAAGGAGCGTGGAGAGAGGAGTCAAGAAATACCTAGAACAACGGAAGAGGTGAAGAAATGTGGCAGATACAACACTTCGAGACAGGCAACGAAATGAGTATAATGATGAGGCAATGGGAGGACGTCGATTATCAGAAGTCAAAACTGTCAGAGATAGGGTGTCAAAATGGGTATCAAACTACAGATCTCGATGAGAGGAGTCGAAAGATGCCAAGAACAACGGCTAAAGAGGAAGAAATGTGAAAGTAACAGCGATGCGAAATAGCCAGCGAAATAGAGGTGGGGATGACGTTGTAGTGACCAATTTTATTACTCATCATCGTACTATCCTTTCATTGTGTAATTGTACTTTGATTTGTTTATTACTCTTAATCTTGCATGTTAACAATTGATAGCTTTTGTACTCGCTCGAGTTTTGAATTTTGATTGCTGCAATAATACAC